GGCAAAAGTTTATAATTGTTTTTAACATTGTGACGACCTTTTTATAATAATTTTGGTGGAGGTCAACGGAACTGCAGTCGGCTCACCCTGGAACGCAGTTGCGTAATGCCGCGCATTTATACACGAACAGGGAAATCTTCACAATCCATATCATATGGTGTCACTGTGTACATACACAAGCCGATACATTTCCATACCACACAGCGCAGTTAACTCCTGGCTACCTCTCAGTCACATCAGTCGTTCTAGCCAGGATTCAAGAGTTAAATTGTCTGCACTACCTTCTACTGTATACCTGCGTCATAGACCCCGGGGTCTATAATACCGTTCTACTTCAGATCTGCAAACTTAGTTTGGATGTCACAATGGCCTAAGATTCACGGTGTCCCGTTTTTACACTGTTTGTTTTATTCCACTTCATCCTTTGTGGGTACTTTTATTTGGGTGTACAATGGACTTCTGTGTGTACATGTACTTCCAGTATAACATGTGCTATCGACAGGCTGCCCCCTTGGTATTATATGCGAACTAAAGTTCCATTTTCTCACCAGGAAACCATGCCTTTGAGGTCCTCCGTACGGCAAACCAGCAGTACCGAGGAGTCGACTTCCTGGCCATTGAGGCAAAGCTGCCAGCTGACGGCCTGTCGGCCAGTCCAGACTGGTGTAGGGATTATGCGAATCTGTGCAGCGGCTTCGGACTCAGGCCGACGGGATGTGGGGAGGACGGGGCGACCGAGGGTGGGCGCTACAGCCACCCCGACTATATCCGGTAGGACGTGTGACATTCAGAACAGTCATAGTGCACGCTGGGTAATCCTGTCTTGTGATCTGAATCGCAGAAACTATAGTCAGGAGTGTGTATAAGTTAACTGATAAATTCATGATTTTTATCCATTACATAACTCAGGTGGGATGATATTATATTTCTATGACAGTATAATCATCATCAATGCCCAATTTGGTAGTCAAAATTGATGACACTGCACTAGAGAGTTACTTCCTGCAAGTATACGTATCTGGGAGTTTTACTTGACTCGAGCCTAAGCTTTAATAACCACATGGATAATGTGTGTAGTAAGATGGTGCAACGCCTTGGTCTGCTATGACAACTGAGGCCTTATCTCTGTACTGATGTTGCCAACATGTACAAAACCTTTGCCCTACCGTTACTTCAATATTGCGATTTTTGCAATATTTCACAAATATGTATACAATACATACACATGTTGCTTAATTGATTTACGTGTATTGTTAATGTATAACTTATATTTATTATTTTACACAATGTATGTTATTATATAATATTACTTTCTTGTATTATGTTTCCATGGGCTCCCTTGGAAATCAGCCTTCAACGACTAAACGACTAAATAAAATATACATGTACATTGTATTGTGTATATTGTACTTAGTCTATCAATTTTACTAAATATGGAATCATGGAAATCAATGAGTATGAAATTTGTTCCACATGCACTTACATGTACAGTAGAATCCTGATGGTGATTGAATGAATCCAGTCAACATGTCCTATATTGTTTCAGTGCATGGAAAGTTCACAGTCCTTAGGGAGGACAGACAAAGTTAATCTGCAGCCACTGTCTTCTCACTTTTGTTAGAAGGGGTGAAGAGTTAGCAATGGTTGAGATATCTTACAGACGTTGTTGTTTCCAGGTGCGTGACTGAGTACAACTCCGACCCCTACATCAACAACGTGCTCGGCTGTCCCCCGGCCTGGCATGTAGTTGAGGTGGCGAACTTGGCTTTCTCAGCCGGGGCTACATGGGACAGGAGTTTCGGCTTTGCCTGGTGTGACACCAGCGACTGCCAACGTGGGATACGTGAGAGTCGTCTCGGTCTGTACTACACAGCAGCAGCCTTTGGCTCAGACGGGAACGGAGACAGGATTGTGTACACTGTGTGCGCAGGCTCAGCAGGTAAGTATTATTAACTATTTGGCACTATTGACTTTTACTTTATTTTACATATAAGATTTCATATCAGACATTAACAATGTTCAAAAGATAAAAAAAATGCTTGTTTCTGGTTTGACCAGAATCTAATTGATGTGGGGTGGGTTTAGTGATTCACAAATTTTGTATATCAATACATAAATTCTGTTATAGAATGTATTTTTATTCAGTTAAAATTAAATGTGCAGCAATGATTTTGCCCAAACTGGATTACCGTGAGCCCTGATATGATATGGGTTAACTGCAGAAAAGGTCTTTCCCACAAGCTACAGAAACTACAGAACTGGGCAGTCAGATTTATTCTTAGCTTGCCAAAGTTATACAATCACATTGGAAATGATGAATTCTCTGTCTAAGGCTGTAAAACCCGAGAGAAACTTGCTCTTGCCCCAATCAATGTACAAGGCTGCTTTGTAGTCCACAGTGAACTTCCAGTCTATACATCAATAGCTTTCAGAGGGCTTCTGAATTTCATAACTTTGCCACCTAGCACAATCTATTCTTGAAACTGCCACCCCTTGAATGTGGAAAGTGCAGCTTCTCATGTAGAGGTGCTAATGCCCGGAACCTCCTGCCACCTTCTATAAAAACTTCCATGTTAGTTTCCAAAACCATGTGTAGAACTTGGCTTGACCTCTCAATAACACCTACAGGAATGGACTTGTTGAACGAAGTAAAACTTGAATGAGGACACTTGTATTCAATGTTGGAAAACTGATTGTGCAACGTTTCAGCACTCAGGTGTCAGAAATGTCCCTTGCTAGGGTCAGCAGTTTTTTCTAGGGTTGGTCGGGAAACAGGAAACACAACTTACATCTTTCCTTATCTGAGACCTAATTTTGTTATTATTTTGATTTATTGTATGTGACTTAAGTTGACTGCAATATTTAGTAATATTACCTCTTCTAGATGCAATGTTAGGAACTTGAGTCTCAAGAGGTCTTGCAAAGCTTAAGTTGACTGCAATATTATTATGTAAATTATGGCTGCCAAGGTAATAACCATGGTCAGCAGCACCAAACAGGATACATGTAGGTGCCTCTTAAAACCTCAAATAGGACGAGGATGGAACAGATTTCACCAGCTGGTTACAATAATGACTACTAGTATGACTGTCTAACTGTTCTCTGTAATTTCAGTAGGCAATAATGAGTGTGCAACTTACAGGAAACTGTGGGTGTGCCCATGTCTGTATCCACACGCTGAACGGCCACAGGTGTGCCTGTCGACCTGGCTACACGTTGATGATGGACCTTCACGGCTGTGAAGGTGAGAAACTGTCTCTACACTCTGTCAGTCTGATATTTCCCACACTTTTGTATAAAGTGAAACATACAGTCATGTATAATGTCAGTCTTTTTTCAATACCGCATTGCCTTCCTTATCAATTATGCAAATTAGAGCCTGATTTGCATAATTGTTATTTAGTCATGTCAAGCATCTCTTCTTTTTTTTACTTGCAATTTGATATGGATAATACAGGACATGGTGGTGAGGTACTCTAGCTGTAGCTAATTCTAACCTCACCACCAGACATACAGGTATACCGCGACAAAATACATGTCAAAAACAACAGGGAACAGCAAATGGGTGGAAATGGCAACACGGTGATTATGGTAATGAATAATAATAAATGGTGAGGAAGAACATGTTTTGCAGGAGTTAATCTTAGGCTAATACAAACTGTTAAGTATCAATAGTGTAAGTGTGGGTGATTGTCAAAATGTTACAGTTTGTATCTGGGTGTAAATCGGGTGATCCTCTAAGTAAAATGTGACAGAATGAAGAATTGTTCGGACATGTTATGTACTTGCAAGCATCTCTTCCACTACCTACATGATTCAATTCAAGATTCAAGATGGATTTATTGGTTCTTCGCAGTTAAAAACAACTGAATTGTAAACCAATTTACAAAACATTAGTATATTAAAAACTACAGGTTTGCAATCAATATAGGCGTACGATTAACAAACCAATAAAAATACATGTTCCATACATTATAAATTTCCTGGACAACATTTGATACAGAAACAGTGTACTACATATTAGAAAAACAACAGTCAGGGGTTCAGTCCATAGTTATTGAGGAGCTGGACCATAAACGGTATGGGCGAGTTCTTATATCTATTTGTTCTTGCTCTCGGACAGTCTAGCATCTCGCTGTTTCTAGTACTACGGCCAGTTATTTGTGATCTCTGTGGAGGTAGCCAGTCTCTGTACTCTGACCGCACAAGTGTCCTAGCAAACTTCACACACAACAGTTCTCTTCTCTCGGCAAGTGATGACAGTCCGAGGTGTTGTAGTGCGTAGTCATATCCTGTGTAGGTAGTTCCCAGGATGATGCGGCAAGCCCGCCTTTGAACACGCTCAAGGCTGCGTTCCTCAGGGGCTTTAGTGAGGGCAGGAGTCCAGGCAGGAGTCCAGTCATGTATGAGGGCGTCGATGAAGGTTAGACATCCAGGTACTTATGGGTACTATGGGTGCTTATAAACCTGCCATTCCCCTCTGGTCTCTCAGTCACTGACGAAA